GGTGAAAGCTGTCGTTTGCAAAGTTGAAAGGAGGACGTGGCGTTAAAGCGGTTGTTTAGGTGCTCTCACAAACGAACGGTCCATGGAGAATGTCGCTGGACATTGGAGCGATCGGAGGGGCCCTTGACAAGCAGAGAATGTGACGTTATTATTGTTCCCAAGAGACGTTTTGTCAGAGAGCGACTGTAAATCTGTTTTCAGCTTTTGGAACCACTTTCAAGCATGTTCCTGTTATGTTTTTTTATTTTTCCCAGTTGGTGACACGTGAAGCATTTGGAAGTTTTATGCAGGCATTTTGGCATCTTTAACACTAGTCAATTTGACAGCTTTGAGTTTTGTAAGTGTAATTACTCTGCTCATGTTTTTTTGTGGTCTTCATAACTTTGTGACTTTTTCTGTTTCTATTCGTACTTTTTTTTTCAACGTTTTAATAAATAATGTCCTGGACTGCTTCTGGATTAGTTTGATTTTCCACCAGAGAATGGTGAGTACTGGTTACCACAGCAAAAAAGCATTTTGGCATTTGCCTTTCAACAAACTGTTTTCTCTGCATTTCAGTTATATCAACCAGTTTTACCTCTTACTTAGCCTGGCCTTAGCCATCCGTACATTGCCCATATGTACATCCTAATGGCTGCGGTTACCTCGGTTGAATCCCCTCAGACCATTCTGTTATGGTTTGGCTCCAAATATCAAGAAAGTGAAGCTAGAGCAAGAGGAACGTTTAGCAAATATCATTACTGGCAGAGATGTTGTGTCTCCACTCCCCACGGGCTCTGTTAGTGGTAAAGAAGATGGCTAAAGCTAGGCTAATGTTACAGGCCTCACTCGCTCGGGCACATTACATACATCACGGTAAACTCAGATCCAATCGTTTCAATCTACAAAAAGAGTGAACCCCTCCCACCTGTTAACAGAGCTCAATACACAATCAAGTAAAACCCTTATTATTCTTTTTCATTTTACAAAATAAATGAATGAAAAAAGGATTTATACTTATCTCAATTTGTCTTGGCTGCTTCTCCCCAATCCAGCAGAAAAGATAGATCATACGATGAAAATGTATCGAGACGTCAGGAAAGATCAGAGAGTGGATTCTAAACTTACCCGCCGTCCTTTACTCACAGTTGGACAATAATGAAGGACAGTTGTTTGAAGGTCAGGAGGTGAGCACCATTCCTGGGAAAAGTTCTATTCTTACACATAATTCTTCACAAAACAGTATGGTTTGGATTTGAACTAAAGCTTGAAAGTCCTTCTTTGATCTTCTGCCACCGTGCGTTTGTCTGAAGCACATTTTGTATCTTGTAAATAAAAAACATGTGTTCAGAGATCGGTGCTACCGTTTGGGGCTGTTGTAAATGAACAAATCAGGCCGTTGGGATTCACTAGATTTGGTTGACAATTGATCTACGATAAAATAAGTACCGCATCAACTTTTCTGGACTGTTTCTTCGTAGCAAAAATGATGATTCCAAAAAAGTAAACAAAAGCGTGGAACAACTCCATAAGCTAACACACAGGTAAAAACACCTTTGAATGGATCCTAAATTTGCATTGATTTATCACTGGTCTAAAACAACAAAACAGATTTTCAGAGCTAATCTGTGCTTGATCTAGCATTAGCAAATGGAGTATACAGTAGTCAGAACCAAAGGGCCGCATTTTAAAATACAGAAACGGCGCTCTAAACAAACCTTGTATAGATAACCAGAGGTCCTTTTCACGATACCGCACAAGCTAGTTCAGGCTGCGTAAAAAAAGATTCATACTTTAGGAACAACATCGCCAAAGTAAACCAAAATATTACTAACATGCAGAAAACGGCAAGTTACAGCTGGATAATCCCAAATTAAGTTTTTTGAGATGTGAGGCTAATGCTAATGCTAGTCTAATCCGAAACAGTCGGCACTAGATCATATACGGAATCGGGACGAAACCGGAAGTAACTACTTTCAAATTTATTTTAGACTAATACGTCCTTAAATGGTGACTGGTTAAGTTTTAGGCGTCTGAGTAAGATAGTTAAGGTTAGGGTTAAGGGTGGGTTGGGGTTATTTTATGGGAATGGTTGGTTAAGTTTAGGCATAAATAGGTAAGTTGTTATATTTACTTCCGCTTCCGTCCAGATTCTGTATATGATCTAGTGCTGACCGATCTAAAACCCCAAGTCGACTCTGGTCATACAATAGTAGAGGTGTCAAACTCATTTTGGTCAGGGGGCAAATTTAAAATCATAAGAACCGGTTGGTGCTGAAAGTATTATTTAAAAAAAAAAAGCTCAATTTGGGCCAATAGACTAATACTGTAGTTTTAAAAAAACGTAGCTTTAATCGCATGATAGTTAACAATTTAGAACAGATTCATTTATAGGGTTGTTTTTTCTGACGTTACACTTATTTTAAAATGAAGTTTAACATGCCATAGTAGCCCATTCCCATCAAATTCCCATTTCAGGGGCCACTAAAAATGGTTTTGAGTTTGACATGCCTGTACTTTAGCATATTTAACTCAAGCGTGAATTAAGCCAGCTTTAACTTGCGGTGTGATCATTGGTTTTGCGATTGGTATTTTTGCGATGCCAAACTAATAGCCATGGATTTGTGCAAATATGAGACAACAACCGGAACCAGTCGCGTGATGGCGTGAAAAAGACCAGTTGGAGGCGGTCAGGCCCTGGTTTTCGGGTCACAATGTTATAGCCTACTACTGCTACTTTGGAGAAAATACATATGGGGATTTGATACTGGTACACGTCCAAAACAATGAAAGCCCAGTCGCAAGTTGATTTGTATTGCTTTAATGTTTTTTCTCCTTAGGAACAGGTAAGCCATGACAATATAATGAAAATGATAAGAGCAAAAAACGAAACCTCAGCCTTCGGTACATCCATAGTCGCACATTCAACCGATCTGCAAAGAAGGATCCACCGGGGCAGCAACCCTTGATTCAAAGCAATAGGTACAATGCTGGAGGAAAGTCACCACTAGGGGGCCACTTTAACACTTTTTTTTTTTTTACATTTCAATATGACATTGTGGAGTGCATGATACCTCTTTGCTTTCAATGAAGTGCCACCAAAAATACTCACCCATTCCTAAACGTGTTGAATAATAATTAAAAAAAAGAATAAATAAGAATAAATAAAATAGGTGGGAGGCCGGGAAAAAAACAGAGCAGCGATTGACACAGTTTTAGACATTTTTTTTTTGTGTGTGCGCGACTTTCCAAAATGGATGCATACGGTTTTTTTTGGCACAGCACCAGTAAAAAGCAATGTGTTTTGAAAAACAATTTAACAAAAAAAAAAAAAAACTGCGTAGCCAGTTAGCATAGGTGGTTAAATCTTTGGCAAAATGAACCGTAACTGCCATGGTTGCATACATTTTTGATATTGCATTTAAGGTTGGCTGCTGAATGCAATTTTCCCTTTTTTTCGTTATAAATATCTACCCGCTACTTTTCATTTTCATCTTTTTTTGTTGTTCCTATGAGCACGTCCCGTATCCAAAAACCGTCCATGCATTTCCGCAACATTTTCATCAAATTCTCGGCTTCATGCCCTACCTCGTTCTCGAAAGAAAAGGGAGAAAACAAAAGGAAAATTAATCATGACAAGCCGAAAACAAACATATACATGTACAAAGTAATGTACACCATATATTCAATACATTTCAAAATCGTCAGACTTTGAAATCATTAGCCAAAATAAGTTTTATATTTTTTCTCACCCTTTTTCAGGTATCTAGACTGTACAATATATGTATATATGAGTAACCATGAGGGACCAAAGCAACAAAAATAAATACTTTTTTCGCTATGTCATCTTTCAAAGTAGTATATCTATGTACAGTTATAGCAATTTTCCTTAGCTTATTGTGAAAGGTGGCCTTAACGGACAGGCAATTGCGCACAGTGTGTCTTTTTTTTCCTATTAAAATGACTATGATGCAGGATGGCGTCTCTGAAAATAACGTCGCTATTTTCGATGATGGGTTTTCCCTAGTACAAAAAAGATTCATGCAGTCTCTTTGACAAGCCATTACAACCTCGAGGAGAAATTTGGAGCACACAGAATGTCTTCGGTGATGGTTGGGGGGGGGGGGGGGGGGGGGGGGGGGAGGTGTGGGTGAGTGAGTGAGTGAGAGAGAGAGAGAGAGAGGGGTGGGGAAGGAGAGGGGGGGTGCAAGATTCTGGGACAACATGCGAAAACAGTGCGCAGGTCCAGGTCTGAGGTTCTTTCCAGTGTGTTCCGATGGCAAAAAGAGTCGTGATAAGGTGTCCGCGACTGCTTGCAGGCAGTGGCGTCCTCCGGTGGCTTCCTCGATGCGTGACATGCTCTAGGGAGGAGTGATGTGAAGCTCTCTTTTGTATTTTTTTTTGTCAATGGTCTGCTTTATTTTTCACTGCAGAGCCCTTACCGACACAGACCAAGTCAAATGAGCACTCACGATGGGATGTATTTTTTTCTCGAAGTGGAAGGTAGAAGATCCAAGCTTAAAGATCAAGCTAACATGCATAAGGTCTTCAGATACTGTTTTGCTAAAAGCCATCGCGGCCGACTTTTTTTTGAAGACGTTTTCCAGAATAATTTCTTATTTTTTTGTTGAAAGAAAATGTAATGGCTTAATAGCTACGTCGTTCTTGGACTTGTATTGCAACTACCTTTGGTTAAGTCAGTCGACAACAAACAACATGAAAACCTGAAGTTCTTCTCAACATTACTTAGTTCCTCTGTCTTTTAGCTAGTGTTTTCCTCTTTAGGTTTAGCCGCCGCTTTCTCCGTTCCAAAATGGCCTCCGTTTGTCACATTCTCAGCTCCACTCGCACTTTCTCTAGCGCCAACGTCGATCCGTTCCAACCGAAGCCTTTGAAAAAACTCAAACCAGCAAGGCAAAAGAGAGACGGGACGAAAATCATAAAAAGGCGTCATCTTCTCGGTGAAAGAGACGCGGGAGGAGTTCCAACATGGCCGCCGCCGCCACTGCTGCAGGGGAGTTTCACCGCCTCATCACCCGCGACACGAAGCTCACGATGGCCGAGGCGGGCTGCTCCGGCTCCAGCTCGGCAAATAGGTGGCTCACGTTGTCTGTTGTGCTTCCTTGTTTCCTCGCCACGAAACCAAAGAGCCTGAAGCCACAAGAGAAAAGTTTTTAGAATTAACAATATTTTGATAGTATCTGTTATATGCTTTAATATCTACTCATATGCTACCATGGCATGTTATACCTCAATTTAAATGATCCCAGAACGCAAAATATAATAATGAAGATAAATGCTGGATAGATTGGTAACCATGTTTTTTCTTTCCTTCTGCTCTTCAAAATAACACAACGATTTTTTATTATGATGTTGGAATTGTCCGAAATATATTTAAATAATTGTCACACTAAATATTAAAACTAGTGAATTAGCATTAGCACCGACCCCCTGTTTATTTGTGGAATTTAGAAACTTTAAAAAACAAAAACAGCTGTGAAAATCCACCATCTGTTCATCTCTTAATGAAAATTGCATCAAGGAATACTGTAAATAAAAATAATCTTTAAATTATTTTTTACAATTTGATTTTAATTAATAAAACTCTTTAGATACTTTGGAATGTGTTCTATCTAAAGCATGCTCCTGAAGCTACCACAAGATGGCGCCAAAGTTCCACAGAACTCTGGTTCACCCAATCCGAGCACAGATCCACTTGACTTACCTCAACAGACCTCCTCCTTCTTTTCCCCATCTGCAAAAACAAAAGCATCGATTTAGACAAATTTGGGAATTCAATATTTGTTTTTCTTTTACCCCAAAGAGATTGTGCAGGTGCAATAGTAGTCATTGAGTGATATTGAGAGTAATATTGAGTGCTGGTTACTATAGCAACATATCATTCCATCACTTGAACTGATTTGGAAAACGTTTTTTGCAGTGTATATTTGTGATTTCAGGGTTGAACAACAACATTATTAATGTTTTCACATTTCACTTTAATTTCCTTACTTTCTGTCCTGGGGGTCAATATCGCAAAAGGTGACTGTGTTGAGGGGATAATGTCTTCTGAAGAAAATCCTGCAAAAAGACAACAGAGACATGAGCGGTGGCCCTAAGTCCTGAACCCATGACTCAACCCATTCTGTAGGGCCCCTCACTTCCTCTGGCTGTCGGTCAGCGTGATGCCCTGCCCCGACACCTTGAAGTGGACGGTGGTAGCGGCGGGCAGAGGGTTGGAAGACAGGGTCTGGCTGATGGCTTTGGCCACGGCCTGGGGTCCGGTCAGAGACTCCATGTCCACCGAGCTGATGTAGAGGACGTTGCAGGCTGCGGAGGGAGGCGCAGGGGTGAGAGGAGGGAGAGAGGAGGGAGGCGGGAGGGACAGTGATGGATGCTGGGAAGTTAGGAGAATCATGCACAGTGTGGAGAGGGGAGACCCAGGGAAATCTACAGGGGCCACTGGCTGTCAGTGTGCAGGCAGGGGAGGGAGGGGGAGCAGGCCTCTCACACACATATATACAGTATACACGCACAGACACACACACATGCAGACGCACACACACAAACACACGCACACAACAAGAAAACATGTGTGCAGAGGTTCTTTCAATGAGATAATCAAATGCAAATTGACTGATAAAAGTATCAAAGTATTTTCTTTTTGTGAGTAAAAGCCTAGAAATGTCGATGATTTTTGAAGCATGGCTATACACTGTGAATTCATTAACTTAGAAGCTTGGCTAACCACAATAATTAAATTAGCTCGGGCTCATGTCTGACCCATAGACTGTAAATAGTCTGACTCCAGAGAATTGATGAAGTTAGAACCATGGCTAACCAATGAATATATTGGCACTTTTTTACACGCCATAAGTTGCAGATGCAGAGAGATGTATAAAAGCACGCAAACATAATTTGATTTAAAAAACATTTGCAAATAGAGAGTAATTCTCACTTTCAACTTTGGTGTTTGTGTCATGTGTATAGTCACTAAACAATTGTGACAAGATTTTTTTTCCCCAGTGACAAAAAAGACAAAATCTAATCCCTCAAATCTGAATATATAAATTACAATGAATTAAAAAGACACACTTTCTACACCACTCAATAAACAAAGTCCAACAACACGTGTGCACACATGGAGTAACCATATTAATCACAGTTTAAATAAAACATATTGAGTCTGACCTGTAAATAAAACCAGACCACAACCAGCTTTAAATAAAATAATTGATTGATGGTGAGCTGGTTGATAGCTGTGTCCTGTCTGCAGTAATATATCTTCATGTGATATATATGTTGATTGTTGTAGCTGCACTCATGTTTTCTTTGGTTTTTAGGCAAATTCTAACTAAGGACTGCAGATGTAAAATGGCCGCCTCCTGGTCTCATGCAAGAGTGATGTCAAAATACACATGACCAAGCGCAAGACTGGACAGGCCAGTGCAAAGGGAGCGGTTTGGTTGGAGAAAAATGCTAAGAGTTATTTACCATGAGCTTCTTCCGGAGGCTTCTGAACTGTAGTGATGTGAAGTGAAGCGGCATAATCAAACTTATGTCCCAATAAAAACGCTGAGACTAAACAGTTCAGCTGTCACTCACCTGCTCCCTGTTTGAGGATCTCCACCACTGGGTCTGTGGGCGTGGCCAGCTCCAGCGCCTCCTCGTTTGGGTCTGGGACAAAAGGAGAAAGCAAAGTGTGCCTTGGTTAAGTACTGTTGTTGAGGAGCTTATCACTAGGGCTCCCAGAGCAGTCAATTTGACAGCTTTTATTGTTCCATCCCATCCATTTTCTACCCCTTAATCCATTTCTGGGTCGGGTGGTGGCAGTCAGAGATGCACCCAGTACACACAGTACCAGCCCCTCACTGATCCTCCTCCACAGGACGACTCACCACCATCTGTCAGTGACGATACAGCCTTGATCTTTCAGCGGGGGCTTCAGGCAGAGTGGGGTTAAGTGTCTTGCCCAAGGATACAACGACAGCAGACCTCAGTGGGCTGAAACCCACAACCTTCAGGCAAAAAGGCCAATGCTCTACTAACTGAGCCACTGTCGCCACCTTGACACCTTCTCCACTGACTCCCACTGAGGTCTGCTGTCACTGTGTCCTTCGGCAAGACACTTAGCCCCACTTTGCCTGAAGCCCCCGCTGAAAGATCAAGGCCATGCAGTAGAGCAGCCATACTCCTGTGGACTCACCACCTGCAGGAGGATCAGTGAGGGGCATCTCTGGCCACCCCCCCAACCCTGAGATGGATTAAAGGGTAGAAAATGGATGAATGGATAATTGCTCAGCTTGTGTACATTCTTGGTCTTCCTAACTTCTGTCTCTTTGTTTTGTTTTTGAAATGTGAGTAGTTCTTCCTTTAGCTCTATGCATTTGAATGAAGATACCCAACTTGTTCATTCAATCTGTTTTTCCCAGAATTTATCCTTATTAGATTTTTTTGCTGTATCTCACCAGTTTTTAGCACCAGTTTTAGTTTTTAAAAAGCAATACATAAATAACTACGGTTAAATAATGTCACATTTTTTGGGGGGACTTTCTCCTGGGATTATAATGGGAGCAGTCAAATTGACAGTTCTGGGAGTTCTAGTAGTTTGAGTGTTTATGTTGGATATTTGGCACAAACCTTTGGTGGGGATCATGAGTTTACAGGGCAGAGCCAGGGGGGTCATGGAGTGTTGGTAAACCAGAGCGGACAGGCAACCTGGCAACACACATAATATAGGTATACAGTATTACTTTAACAAACAAACAAAGACATAATACAATGACAACTATAATGTATAGTGATAAATATGACCCCTGGGCCATTATTATATAGATCTCAATACTGATTCAAAACAATGATAGAAAAGAATGGAGTCTTGCCACATGGATCAGCACTCTGCCATTCACACAACACGGTCATATCCAAAGCAGATCTAGTAAGCTATTAGGTTGAGAAATGATCATACTATACAACTCTAGGACAATTCTCACTCTTAAAACAAAATAAGAACTAGAGAAGAGTGTGGAGGAGAGAGAGAGGCCCTCAGCACAGAGCAGGTGTAGGGTCTGAGAGCGTTTGGGCCTGTGTCTTGCCTGAGTGTGTGCTTTGTGTTGTGTGAATGAGTGAGTGAGTGAGGGGCCTGGAGCTAAATAAGCAACAACAGCATTGCAGTGAATATATTTCGTATCCTGTGTATCGTTTTTGTACATAACGTCGAAAAATACTACTACTTCTATCTACTACATACGACTACTACCACCACCACTTCCACTGCTGCTTTTCTATTGTGGTGAAGACTTTTTTTGACTTGTAAACTATTGGGACGCCACAGAGGACAACATGAGCACTGCTTCGTTTTGTGAAAGAAGTGGACCTTCTTTGGACCGGACATTCATTGAACTCATTGGACTCACCAAAGTAGGGTTCATTGGGACACCCCTTCAGCCGGACTCCTTTGGGACTGGTCTCAATCAGGAAGTGTCTCACCAGCTCGTTCGTCAAATCCCCAACAGCTAAATCATACAAATGCGCAGTGTAAACTCCCATTCCTACTTTTGAAGATGGTAAAAAAAAAAAAGAAACACAATACTTTTCTTATTTTGCTGGACAGTGGGAGGGGGGCAGGCCACCTTCATAGCCAGACCGTAAGCCCCGCGGAACGAGTGGCTGTCCCGAATGATAAAGGCGCCTGGTTCTCTGTCCTTCAGCAAACCGATTGCTTAGAGGGGAAAAAACAAATTTAACAAAGAAAAAGCAATTGAAATGTTGTGCATGATGTGTTTGTCGTTCATTCTAGACTCACCTTGTTCTCTGGAGATATCGGGCTTGTACCAAAACTTGGATGTGTCCTGGACAAACTTGACGTTCATTTTGATGTCGGGGTATCCGTCTGGGTAAAAAGGCGGAGTCATTAATCCCGGCAGCACCCTCGCTGACAAATATGCAACATAAAGTTCAGTGGTTATGGCAAAAGAAGTCTGACTTTTTGGTTTAGCGCTTTAGCTTTATCTATCAGAAGATATATTGTGTTTTCCATTCATCCAAATACCTCAGCAGTCCATCAGTTGCTAGAAGATAACTGTTTAATACATTAGTCACATTTTCTCCTTAGCACAGGGGTGTCAAACTCATTTTGGTTGAGGGCCGGAAAATTTTTTAAGAACTGATCAGGGGCCGAAAGAAGAAGTGGGTTTCAATTATTATACTTTTTTTATAATATGAAGGTATCTATATTATAAATGACTTGTTTCACATTAGTTAAACTGGATATTCTTTTCTGTTCGACTTGACTGTGGACTGAACCAAAACTGGACCAAGTCATGGCCCCCAGGCCTTGACTTTTACACCTGTGGCTTAACAGCTCTGTTTATTTGTGTAACGGTCGTGAAGTTCTGACGAAATGTGCTGCGTAAGTTTGTCACATATTTTCAGATGTCCACATTTCATGAAGAGATGTTTTTATTTTTACACAGAGTAGAGATAAAGTGATTTTGTTCACATAGTAAACAAAATAAATGTGATGCCAGACAATAATTATTATTCTCAGACCATCAGATCCATTTTTCAAGGATCATTTAAATGTTTAAATTTGTATATTTTTCTTAAATGATTCCTTTTTAAACCAAGTGATTTACTTTTGTTGTGTTAGCCATGTTAATCTTGTGGGATTTCATCTTACGCTTTGCCACTAAGGGACTGGGCACCACCAGGGACTGAACTCCTGTTAGTGCCCAGAGTCAGAACTAAACATGGGGAGGCTGCTTTTCAGATTCATGCTGCTAAAATCTGGAACAATCTTCCTGAAGATGTGAGACAGGCCTCCTCTCTGACAATGTTTAAAACCAGGTTAAAGACAGTTCTGTTTAGCTGTGCATACAACTGAGGGATTTTATATTTTTATCTTTCTTTATAATGTTTTGTGATTATTTATGATTTTAATGCTTTCTTATTTTGTTCAGTACTATGAGTTGTCTTGTGTATGAATTGTGCTATACAAATAAACTTGCCTTGCCTTGCCTAATGACTTTTTATTGGTTATTTAATTTTTTTTCCAAAAATGTATTTGCACAGATGATTTTCTTCTGAAGAAATATTTGTTATCTCTGGGTTCTGCAAGGTTATATTATAATTATACAATAACAAGCACTATCGAGTTCTTTCAAGCAACTACAACTTTTGTAGTAACTAGCGTTTTTTATTATGAAAAATGTTGTTGTTCAAGTTAGGAAATAAAAATGTTTGATTGTGATAGAAGTTAAAAGGACAAATACATGCTATTGAGAACTGGAGGATAGATAGTTCTAATCAGGGTCAGAAGAGAAGTTTCTAACGCCGTTATCATTTGATAATCGAAAACAAGTGTAGTTGACAATAGATGTCTTCACGTGAGTCATAATAATTCACAATATCCAAACATCGACAAAAGGCATTTCTAAAATTCACATACAGTACATTGTTGATGAAGGAGTAATATAAAACCATATGTGTATTTGCGTTGCCTCACCGTATATGGACTTAGGCATGTCTGGGAGTGTGTGTGTCCCAGTGAGGTTGGGAGTGCTGCCCCCGCTGGCCGGTGCCGGGCTCAGGTTCTTGTTGTCGCTCCTCTCTGCGTCTCCGCTGGACATGTGCCTCTTGTCGGGCAGCTGCGGGGACACGGGGAAGGCGGGGGTGTGGCGTGCGCTCACATCGTCTGGGGTGGCTCTTCTGGGGGGCACTCCGGCGGTTGTGGCTGCTCTACGGGTAATCAAGGGGCTGGATGGGATGGCTGGGGGGTGCTGGCGGCTCAGAGAGGGGCTGCCCTGGCCCAGGCGTCTCTGCAGGGCCGGGCTGGGGGGCGTGTTGGTGGCCACGGTGCGGTGCAGGGTGTTGGGGCTCCCTGGAACGGTGTGAAGGCCCATGATGTTCACCTGGGCGCCCTCAGGGGGGCTGCCTCGGACTAGACCTCTGCTGCAAACACAACACAAGCTTTTTTAGATTTATGGACTTTGTGTCCTTGGTATTATAAACACAATCTTTTACTTGTACAAGTCAAGCAGCAGCTTTCAATAGTTAACCTGCAATAGACCAGAATTCTTGATGTTAGATTTATGCTTAAAGGGACACTGTGTAATTTTGACTCCCATCTAGCATTGAGATCATATATTGCAAGTCTCCTTCTTCCACCAACATCACGGAAGCCTCCGAGGGCCATATGTCATGTATGACAGTGGTCCCCAACACCCACTAATTCCCCGGACCACTAAGGAAAGAATCATTTAGTTTGATAAAAGACCGGATCACTCCATACACTGCCGTGCCACAAATGTGCCTTGACGCACGTGCGCGGGGGTGGACATGGAAACAAAGTCTGCGTTGTGAAGCGGCACGCGCTGCACAGAGGTGTTTGACCATGGATCTATTATAAAATATAGTTTTAAAAACGCAGTGAGAAGATAAGAGACGCATGAAGGAATGGGAAATCTGTTTAAAACAACATTGGTCCGAGAAGCAGGAGGATCTAAAAGCTCAGATTATTAGCTTTCACCGGGCGCTGCATCATCACAGTAAGAAAACACAACATTCACTCACACTGGTGATAAAGTATTCTGCCAAGTGTTTTTTGGGGATTCTGTGTGTTTTATTTGAGGCTTGTCCCTTGAATAAGTTTAGTTGAAATTTGTGACATAGTTGGACTTGGATCGGATCAGAACATCCTGAGACTGTGTTGTGGATTCTGCCTCGTTCTCATCACTGATGACGTGAAAAAAGTTGCGTATTGTTCACGTGTGAGTCTGTTGTGTACAAACTACACAATGTGCCTCCTGTTGTGTTAACTCTGTACTTTGGTGTGTGTGGTTTGCGATGTTGACAGTTTGCTGCTATGATGTCGGACTTTTGCATAATTATTTCTTTAAGATTGTTGTTCGGGTCATTCTTTTACATAACTGTGGTCCTCCATGGGTCCTTCCTCAAACCTGCGAGGGCAGAGTGAAACAATATCAGTAGCACTTTTGAAACGGAATGAAAATGTGTTTCTCGCATCCTTTTTGTCCCTTATCAACCACTGTATTTCAAGATGGTGCATTGACACAGAGAGTCCTCTGCTCTCATGGACATTTACACATTCAAATCTACGCCTATGAAAACAGCTAGAAAAACATGGTGGAGGTAAATATTCTTTAAAAAGTTGCATTTGTTTTTAGTTAACATGTTTTTTCATATGGAGCAGCTTTAAAGCTGGAGTTTACCTAACTTGAAAACACACCACATTAACTAATAAGATACATGAAACTTGTTTCTAGCTCTCAAAATTGTTCTCACTAGATAGTGATAGATTTTGTTTCAGTTTGTAAAAGGTAACGTCTCTTCTTAAATGAAAAATAAAGCCTTTTGTGTTTAATAAATAAAAGTAAAAAATACTGTTTCCAACTAACAGCATTTATGTTTGCAACAAAAAACGTTGTTTTCAGCTAACTCGTTCCTATGCTCCCAAAACAGTTTAGTTCTATCACTTGCTTTCACATGCTTGTATTATTCAGCTTTAGCGAGTGAAAAAGAGAGGACCCCCCTCACTGAGCCAATCAGCTCTCAGTCCATGTGGTCTGATTTGCCCACATAACTTTAATTTTACAAGCCTCTTTCTGCTGGAAGGCACTACATGTTAGGTACCCCAACTTTACCCTTTTCTTAAACACACACACACCTGTCAGAAGAGTGCACTGGACTTCTGGAATTGATGGGGGCGATGACCTGCTGTGCTCTCGACCCCAATGCACCATCTGCAAAAGAAAACTGCTTCAGATGCACATTTGGACGATACCAGAGGAGAAGTTAGTTCACACTGCCTGCATACAAAAAGTTGTCTGTTGGATTTAATTATGATTCTCAAAAGGTAAGGCAACTGGACTTGTCGACTCTGCTGAATCTAGCATTGCTTATTGGCTTCAACAAAAATCCAGGCAACAACAGAAAAAAGCAGTGTAAAGGGAGCATGCAGAGAGCCGCTTACCGTGTTCCCCATCATTAGATTCAGAGTCTGCCATCAGCCAATCAGAAAGAAAGGGGAGGTTGTGGGGACAGGAGTGCACAGTGGGTTAGCATTAGCATTAGCATGTAAGTTGCTTTTATCAACCTTTACTAAACAAAAATATGAAAGACAGCACTTATTTTGCCCGTGTTCTTCATGGGTTCAACTTAATGCTATAGAACTCAGTGTTTGCTCATCAGATATATCTCATAAATCTGTTTCAAAAAGTCGGCCCTTGGCTCACCACTACGTTCCAGATGCATGTCAATGCTGAGGGGGGTATTTTATGTTGGACCAGCCCAGTTTAGCCACTGTGGACATTTGAATGCACTCGGTAAACTAATGGCTCGTGTCAGACACATGCAAATGCATGTTTACACATTTTCCTGCGGGAGGGGCTGCACATTCACATTTTGATATTGTGAAATAGGCGTCACTACGTCCGAGTCTATTGTCTGACAACAATGTAATGACACTCAATGCTACACCCATTGACCCACCCATAGCTGTCCAATAACGACTAAAAGGAAGTGGGTTGCCATCTTAGCAGTCTGGGACCACACCTGCAGTTCGGACTGTGGAAACAGTAATACTAGTGGAACCTGATGGCTGCTTTCCGAGAGCCAAAAACATTATGGCCCAATCCCCAGCTCAATGTTCAATGTTTAACCACTATGGATTTTTAAACATCCCCAAAACTGCCGCAATTTTGTTGGGGAACTGAAAGCTTTTTTTCAGATTTACTGAGGGAGGGACCACTATTCTATTACTATTCTATTCATTAGCAGTCTACACTGTAAAAACGTCAACTCAAAAATGTTCACCTTACTAAGATTTCTGCATTCACTGACAATAGAATTGCCAGTTGGAACTTGAACTGTCTGTTGTGAGCCACTTGAACTCACTTTCAGAAGTTTCTAATGAAAAGTTCATCGTATTTGATAAATTTAGTTAATTTTACTTTGAAGTTGTAGTTGACATGTCAACTACAACTTCAAAGTAAAATCAACTTAATCAACTTCTGAAAGTGAGTTCAAGTGGCTCACAACAGACAGTTCAAGTTCCAACTGGCAATTCTATTGTCAGTGAATGCAGAAATCTTAGAAAGGTGAACAATTTTGACTTGTCGTTTTTACAGTGGACTCATTTACATATATGTAAATGTGGCGCATTGGCTGAGTGGATAGCACAACGGCTTCTTAGCAAGAAGGGACTGGGTTTTAGTCCTAGTCGGAACAGGGCCTTATTGTGGGGTTTGCATGTTCTCCCCGTGCCTGCGTAGGTTTCCTCCAGGTGCTCGGGTTTCCGCTACCACTAAAAACATGCAGAATACTTTGAAATTCTCCAGCTCTGGTCCTGACCAAACCAAGCATCAGCACCTGAAGACGGGTTCCCGGGCGCTGTACTATGGCAACCACTGCTTCTGACGTAAGCCTTAATGGCATCAGAATGGGCCAAATGCAGAAGATGAATTTCCCTACAGGGATAAATAAAGTGCACTTTTAACTTTTACCCTTAAATTAATTTACTGTCTATGGCCATAATTTAGTAAAATGGCCACTTTAATTCATCAAAATTGACCTGAGGCCAACAATCTGGATTTAAAAACTGGATTTGAGATTGACTGAATTCTGGAATTTAAAATGGGTTATGACATGGCCATATTGATTCACACCACAGCTACATTTTATTTGAAATGTTGTGACACAATCATAAAACAAATGTCAGTATATAACAAGTGAGTCAACAACTGAATTCCAGAACACTGAGATTTACAGGGAATAGCATGGCTGTACTGGTGGAGCTGAAGTTGGTTGGATGAAACTGTCAAATTGCCTCAATGGCAACTTTGTGTTAGCAGAGGGGCACATCAAATTGCACAGAGGGCCGCAATTGGCCCACGGGCCTAAGTTTGAACTTGCCTGGCCTATGGGATTGACCCATTGAGCATGTCCGGGGTGCTCTGGAGTGTGTATTTATGAAAAATCAGCATCAATATCTGAGATGGATGGATAATCAATGCAAAGAAGAAGTGCTCAAAGCAATTAAGTTAGCCTAATGACAAATATTAGCTAGAGATGGGTCAATTGAGCAATATTTTGAACCCATGAAGAATGGGTGAAATAACTAAATCCCTGTATATAGTTTTTTATGTCAACAACTATTTGTACCAATAATACTACTACTACTACTACTAGCAAAGTATATTAGTGTCTTATAATCTCACACACACATTACCAAATACTTTTACACAAAAGCCCTTAGATATGGAATACATGTAATAATACATACTACATACATAATCATGAATATAAAAATAACAAACTATTACGTCAGAATTGAGCCACATTTCCCGACTGTGTTTTAGTGGTTAATGTAAAAGTGGAGTTTTGAACTGACCTGATCCTCCGTATGTGTGTGGCTTAACCCCGAGGGCAGAAAGAGGAGTCTTGGCTAGTCCAGGAGGAGTGCGGGCTGGAAAAGAGACAGGAGATGATCATGACCAGAGAACACAGGAGAATTATGATATACAGTATATTATATATATATATATATATATATATGCACACACCCTGGAATTGAAGGATGTTTATACATACAGTGATGGCATGGGAGCAGGCTGTACATTTAATGCTGTAAAAATGCTAAAAAAAAAAATGTCGCTAAATTGAGAATTTATTGTTTTATATCCATCTACTTCTTCAAATGCAGGTCTAATGGACTCTCATGCAAACTCAAAGGATGCAAATGACAAAGTACAAATGATTCCTCAATCTTTGCATGTATGCATTTGCATGGTTGCATGTATAATAGGTTTTAGGACATGCAAAAGTTTTCCCATTCAAACTTCATAGGATTTCTAAATGCACACAGAAGTACAAACATGCAGGCATTGTACCATAGACTCCTCACTGCAGCATCAACGTTGAGGTCTTACTGAGGGAGAGTGTATTTAGTCTGTGGGACATAAGTCTGAAAACAACCAAAAGTGTTTGGCCGTCTACACACTATATTTCTGTAGTTTGTTTAGGGTCAGAACATTACCAATTACAAGCCCAATCTAATGTCATACATTTTCAAAACATGCAATACACCACATAGCGACTGCATTTTAATGAGATCATTAGTTACGAACAAATTAAAACTCGAGAACAAAAATGAGTATCCATTGCCCGAAAACCACCCACCTCTCTATCCTCCTCCACCATCTTCCCCTTACCCTCTTATCTCAAAACACAAGGATGCACAGGGTCTCTGCTTTGTCGCCACTGCCAGTAAAATTAGAGGAGAGACTTAAAGAGTCATAAAGAGAACAGCACCAATCCCATAGGGATAATACAAATAATACATAACAGACATCAGAAGTCTAATCAGGCAAATCTAGTTCTTGTTCCGTGCAAGAATCCATCGGCCACACCCGCTGACACTGAAATGTATTTCAAACTTGCTATGTCTAATTTCAGATCTCTTTGTGTAAGCTCTCAGTCGTACAGGGATTAGTCAAAAACAAAGAGAGGTTGCCCATAAATTCAGTCGTCTGTATCAGCTAAATACTTTCCTACTCAACGAATGTTCACGCAGAGGACTTGCCTTCATTGAGAATTTTAATCTGTTCTGGAATAGGCATGAGCTTTTTGAAGGGAAAGGGCCACATCTGAACACTTACGGAGTAAAAGTGTTGATGGATAACCTTTCTTTTGTCTCTGCACCTCCACCACCTCGAAGGATCTCAACACCACCACCGCCTCGAAGGATCTCAACACCATCACCGCCTCGAAGGATCTCAACACCTCCACTGTCATCAGAAGCAGCTGCATCATCACCAGCAGCAGCTGCATCATCACCAGTAGCAGCACCAGCAGCACGACCTCCCCCGCCTTCCCCTTCCCCTCTTTTCTCTAAACACTAGGATGCACAGGGTCTCTGCTTCGCAGCCACTGGCAGTCTAGTTAGAGGAGAGACCCGGCTGGGGCCCTGTCATGAAGCCACCTGTGCCATTCCCTTAGTGATAACACAAAGAGTACATTACAGAAAAACATCTGGAGTTAATCAGTCTAATCTGGAAAATCTAATTCTTGTTCCGTGTAAGAATCAGCCGACCACAACCGCTGATACTGAAACTTTGAAACTTGCTACGCTTAATGTCAGATCTCTTTGTAACAAGTCTTTTTTAATCAATAATTTTATTTGTTCTCATAATCTTGATCTTATGTTCATGGCTGAAACTTGGCTTGACCAAAATTCAGGAAATGCAGTTTTAATAGAAGCATCACCACCAAATTTCAAGTTTGAATCTGAAATACGGGAAAACAAAAAAGGAGGAGGCTTAGCTGCCATTTTTAGAGACCACTTTGTCTCCCATAGAATGTCTCTTGGGAAGTTTCCGTCTTTTGAATATGTGTCTTTTAAAATACAACAAAAACAATCTCCTCCAATACTCTTCATTGTCCTATACAAGCCACTGCAGTCATGTCACAGTTTTATTGATAATTTTACCGAGTTGCTTTCAGTTGTATGCACAGATTTTGATAGTTTGGTTATTACAGTTGATTTTAATATTCATGTGGATAATGTTGATGACAGAAATGCAAATGAGCTGAGTTCTGTACTTGAATCCTTTGATCTCACTCAGCACGTGAGTGGCCCCACCCACAGCAGAGGGCACACTCTAGACCTGTTAGTTACTAAGGGGGTGAATATTTCAAATGAAAACGTGGTCGATGTTGCTCTTTCGGATCATTTCTGTGTTTTTTTTGACATGTGTTTCACTAACAAACCACCAGTGGACTCTGCAACTGTACGAAGATGACACACAAATGGAAATACGAGTGAACTATTTATGGGAATGATAAACTTTGAGAATGCATCGTATTCTACTGTAGATGAACTGTTTAACTCTGTCACCTCTAGTGTTTTGAATGTTCTGGATACCGTTGCCCCTGTGAAGGTTAAAATAGTGAAAAATAAGCAGAAGGCGCCGTGGGCTAAAGCAGACTCGGTCAGGGCACAAAAGAGAAAGTGCCGGAGGGCCGAGCGGAAGTGGCGCAAGTCCAACCTCCAGGTTGATTACGAGATCTTCAAACATAAGTTGTGCGAGTTTAACCGGGTGCTATGTAGTACGAGAGAAAGGTATTTTTCTGAAATGATTGAAGCCTGCAGCAACAATCTGCGTGTTCTGTTCTCAACAGTTAATAGATTAACAAACCCCCCTGTTCAAATGCCATTAGAGCTAACTTCCAAACGTAAATGCAATGAGTTTGCTAATTTTTTCAATGACAAGGTTCAAGGCATCAAAACCGCCATTGTCTCCAATCCACAGATAACCATCCAACAGCCAGAAATGCTCTCTGAGCTAACTCACTTTGCACCTGTAAATGATCAAACTGTCCAAGAGATAATCTCCAGTTTGAGCTCCTCCACATGCAGCTTGGATGTACTACCCACTAGATTTCTGAAGTCTGTTCTGAGCAGTCTGTTACCTTCACTCACACAGATAGTAAACATGTCCCTTCATTCTGGAATATTCCCAAAGGCCCTGAAAACTGCAGTCATCAGGCCCCTGCTAAAAAAGAGCAGTCTCGATGATACGATACTTAACAACTATCGTCCCATCTCAAATCTGCCATTTATGGGGAAAGTCCTTGAAATAGTTGTCTACCTACACCTTCCTAGATTTCTTATAATCAACAACTCATTTGATATGTTTCAGTCCGGCTTTAGACCCCACCACAGCACTGAGACTGCTCTTGTTAAGGTTACAAATGATATCCGGCTGAACACTGACGCAGGCAAAGTCTCAATCTTAATCTTGTTAGATCTAAGTGCTGCCTTTGACACTGTCGACCATGAGATCCTCTTACAGAGACTAGAGGACTGGGTTGGAGTTGCTGGCACCGCCCTAAGTTGGTTTAGGTCTTACCTTGAGGACAGGAAGTACTTTGTGGAGATTGGAAACTGTGTCTCAGATCATATGGCCCTGACCTGTGGAGTACCACAGGGGTCGATCCTGGGACAACATGTTCAATCTCTACATGCTGCCGTTAGGTCAGTTAATACGCAGAAACGAAGTTTCCTATCATAACTATGCAGACGACACTCAGATCTATGTCTCACTGACTGCAGGAGAACATGGACCAGTGGACTCACTCCTTCACATTATCCAACAAATCAGTGAGTGGATGCAAAACAACTTCCTTCAGCTAAACGCAGACAAAACTGAAATGATTGTCTTTGGTCCCCAGAAACAAAGAGAGAGCGTCATCTGTCACCTCCAGTCTCTCTCCCTAAAACCTTCAAACAAGGTCAGAAATCTAGGGGTAATACTGGACTCAGACTTAAATTTTAATAGCCACATCAAATCAGTAACATCAGCAGCTTTTTACCATCTAAAAAACATTGCCAGGATCAAAAACATAGTGTCTAAAGCAGACCTGGAGATTCTTATCCATGCATTTGTCTCCAGTAGGTTAGACTACTGCAATGGCCTGCTCACAGGTCTGTCCAAACAGGCTGTAAAACAGCTGCAGTACATTCAAAATGCAGCAGCTCGAGTCCTGACAAGAACCAGGAAGTACGACCACATTAGTCCAGTTCTCAGGTCTCTGCACTGGCTTCCTGTGGCTCAGAGAATAGACTTTAAAACAGCTCTGCTTGTGTACAAGTCTCTCCATAGCCTCGCACCAAACTATATTAGTGACATGTTAGTCCCATATGAACCAGCCCGGACTCTGAGGAGCACAGGGACTGGACTCCTGTTAGTGCCCAGAGTCAGAACTAAACATGGGGAGGCTGCTTTTCAGATTCATGCTGCTAAAATCTGGAACAGTCTTCCTGAAGATGTGAGACAGGCCTCCTCTCTGACAATGTTTAAAACCAGGTTAAAGACGGTTCTGTTTAACTGTGCATACAACTGGGGGATTTTATATTTTTATCTTTCTTTTTAATGTTCTGTGATTATTTATGATTTTAATGCTTTCTTGTTTTGTTCAGCACTTTGAATTGCCTTGTGTATGAATTGTGCTATATAAATAAACTTTCCTTGCCTTTCCTTTCCTTGCCCACACATCATCTGTACTTCAGTTAGCAGGTTTTCCCCGACGTTTCGTTCTTCATCCAAAGAACGTTGTCGAGGGAATGGACGCTCAGCTGCAAGTCATTCCTGACTCATCAGCACGTCATTGATCAGTGACGTGCTGATGAGTTAGGAGTGGTAGACCTGCACTCCCTATCACATATTAGCAGTGTTAGCTGTGTTAACGAGTTAGCTTCAGGATCAGCGGGTGTCTAACCGCACCCACAGGTTATAAATCTCCAACTTGCGGCGGAGCGTTCATTCCCTGAAAAAATGTTGTTTGGATAAAAAACGAACGTCGGAAAAACCTGCGAACTGAAGTACAGATGATGGTAGCCTGGTCGTACCACACCTTAGTACCAAATTACATTTCGTGCTAAGGTCTGGAGGTGCTCCATTGAGC